ATGCTAAGTATAATACCATATTGATGTTTATGAAGACATGATTTATATAAGGTTAAGAAATTGACCTTAAGTAAAAGTAAAAAGAGAAGTTAAGTATAAACTTGAGAAAAAGCAAATTTAATGAATTTCTATAAGATTTGGATAAGTTAATAATTCTAAAAATCTTATTGAGTATACGAGCATAGTACTTAGTATATTTGTTTATATTTTTATGTAGCTTGCAGATATAGCTACCCAAGAGCAACACTTACATTTTTCAAATGTTTTCAAAAGAAGAAAGGTGGGGACCCAGACTGGGTATTAAATTGAGTATAATATTGATATCATGTCCGAGGTATGTATAAAGTTTAAGTTTTTACGCTTGGGATGAAGGCCCCAAGTTGCCTTACAAGTACATCCTAAGTTCTGATGGAGGCCCCAAGTTGCCTTAAGAAATATCCATCAGATTGTGCACAAGTATCCGATCAGATATCAGAAAGAGAAAGAGTAAAGTTTCATTTACTGGAACAGATTTCCAGTCAAGATATATATACCAAAGATCTTGATATTGTATTATTATTGCTGTTTACTTTAGTATGGGTGTTTTTCGGGGTACAAGAGGATCAATACTCACCCCCATTGTGTTTTTCAGGAAACAGGTTCGGGACGGAGGTGTGAGCTGAGCAGTGGTGGTGGTGGTCGTGCACTTATTTCAAGTGGACATTTATTAAGTATTTGATATGTCTGTATAATAAACCACGTTTTTAAGTATTTCCGCTATGCACATTAAGTATTGAACTTGCATTTCAGACTTCAAGTTTTTACCATTTTGAGAAGTATGAATATGGTACCGTTAAATGCAAGTTTAAAGGAAATCTGTTTTCTTTATGTCTAAAGAAGTATTAGACAAAAGTTTAAAGATAAATAGATTTTCAAGAAGATGAGTTTGAGTAGCATCCCGAGTTAGTCGCAATAGATTTCGAAAGATTTATAAGTATTTTCGAAGTAAAAGTTGTGAAAAATTTACTCTGATAAGCGGGGTGTTACACTTACTCCAGTCAACAAATAGACCATTTCAGTTTACTGATTAGATGCTCTTAGCGATCTACAATGAACCTGTCTGAGTGCTTTTTCATGGATCTCCTTTCAAGACCTCGTCTTGATATCTACGATGCTAACTTCATATTACATATGAGTGGTCTCAGCCTAAAATTCATATGGACTCAAGTATGGCTACTGGTGAAAAGGTTAACGCATAATAGATCTAACTTCTTTCTGAGTTCATTATTTCACAACAAGCCTACTTGTGGAAGTCTACACGAATTTACTCGTAGACCCACCCCAATGGCGTCATGCCACTTAGTGGTTCTACAAGATCCTAGATCCGATTAGAGTCAAAAACCCTATATCGGAAATCATTTTTGTTTGCTAAGTTCATGCGTCTACTGTCTCGGGACTTCTCATTTTATAAACAGGGATTAGCTTCACGTTCACCAGAGACTAAGTCCAAAGACTTCTCTCAAGAATGTGAATTCATACTTTCGTGCTTACCAGAGACTGAGTCTAAAAACTCTCTCATTAACCACGAATCTATGGCAGTTGCCTTGCAACACTCCTACTACAATCCTCCTTATCGTATAACTAGGGATTTATTTCACATTCACTAGAGACTAAGTCCAATGACTTTTCTTAAGAACATGAACTCACAACTTCGTGTTTACTACAGATTGAATCCACGACTCTCTCAGTAACACAAATGTATGATAGTCGCTTTGCAACGCTCCCACTACTACAAAGTACTTCCGACAAAGGTGTATTACTAGAGACACATGTTTGCAGTCTTATTGTGGTATAGCAATTTATACACGCGGTAATGAAGTTTGAACATTCACCTTTATCTTTCCTTATGACAACTCTACAAATGGGCCTTTGGTTTATCACTCAGTATTCCTGTAAAAATCAGGCATTTGTTTTAACGATCACCATCTGATTCTTAGTACTGTAAAGCATCTATTTTGTTATTATGGAGTATCCCACAAACAACCGACTTTCAGATCGAACTTTGCTCAGAACCTACGCCATTATCTGCATAACCCCAAAAAACGAAAAATTGGAAGATCCTAGTAACTCATCATTGACTTAACCAATGTGCCCAAGAGACCTCGTCTCTTATTGATTTTAGTAGATGTGTCAGTTACTTCCATTTGCACTGTGAGACCTTTTGGTTACTTGAGTCAACTAATTATCTACCCACGTACCAAATGAATAAACGTTTCATTTTCTAGATAGCAAACTTGCCATCAAACAAAACATTATTTCCATACAGAATTTAGAAACTGAAATTGAATTCTTTCTAAAACTTGGTACACAAAGATGATTACTCAAAACCAAATAATTCTATATATAGAAAACTCTCACTGCAATAGTTGCCACTTTCGTAGCATTTCCCATTTTAGATGGTAATCCACTTATCACTCAGTCGATTCCTTTTTCCTCTTAAAGTCTCGACTTCTGAGTGAATAAGATTTACCTTTATTATTTTAAGGATATGTTAATTCGACTTCCTATGTCCTTTTGCTTAAACTGGATACACTCGCCCTGCGGCTCGTACTTCCAGCAACTTAGGACACTATCCAAATTCTATTTCTAATCAATTTCGAACACGTAAATTATCTTTGAAAATAAAGGACAACAGATTGAAAGCCATGTTTGAATAACTAGAGAATCACGAAATAATATTACTAATTAAACATTTTGAATTTAACTGTTAACGTTGGTATCCTCAAAACAACATTAACTTAAATTCACCAACGTCCCAAACATCGAGAGTGCTACGTGGGTCGCCTTACGCACTCAACATTCGCAAGAGAAGGGCTTCTTAAGAACCCATTATGTCCATAAGCCAAAACCCAATTTATGGAAAATGAAACTAATAGTCGGTGTCCTTTTGGCCATGCAATAAAAATCAGGGACCCCGTGAGGAATTTATAAAATTTATCTCATTCTAAGTAAACCCATTTCTCGATCCTAAGGTCATCATATTTGTTTGTACGTCCTCGGTGGCGGGGCTCGCACGCTGTCATATGAATTCCTCTAACTGTCCTGATCCTAAGGTAATCAGGATTGTACGTCCTTGGTGGTGGGGCCCGTTGATGAATAATCGTGTATCTCCTCAACTCGTTTATCTCGAACTAAGCTTTGCCAAGGCTTCTTCTCGATGATAAGTGTGGACAACTCGGTTATTAGCCTTATCTTCTCACGATTTTGAGATGGTTCGGGTCTTAGCCTTGCCAAACTCGGTTTGTAACACCCCGCCTACTATAACTTTGACTCACGAAAAACTGGGTAAAATTTTTGCGACTGTTTTCGAAATATACTTATACTGTTTTCGAAAAACGTTTAAACTTACTAACTTGCGGGATGCTATTTACTTACTGACTTACTTCTCTTTTTCTGTTACTTATGCACATACCCAAATCGACATATATGTTTCGACTGGTGAAAATACGGATAAGGGAAAATAAAGCGTGCATACATACTAGTCTGGGTTGGCCATACGGAAGCGTGAATAAAGTACGGTACAGTGACTGTATTTTGTTTTTCTTTTTTTTTTTTTGTGTGTGGTAACTTATTGGAAATTAGACACTTTAGAGGGACTTTGGTGCAATTATAGAATTTACTATGTTGTATGTTAATATCTGGTTGATTCTATTTTATTAAAAGTGCAATATAGTGCACATTAATAATGCGTAGATGCACAATATTTTGTATTCTCAAGCACATTATAAATCTCGTTATAATTTTACAAAGATACATAACTAATAATTGTAAATAATTGTTGGTTCAATTGGTTCATAATTTTAAAAATTCGATTCAATTATTTTAGTCCAAACAAGTTTAGTTGCTATTGTGCAATTTGGTAGTAATTTTTGTGCAACTTAACAGATAGTATTGTGCACTCGCGACACATAAAAATATAATCAACTCGAAATTTATATGTCGTTCGATAATGTGCATCCTGATGCTCACTAACGTGCAATCCGTCTAGCATTAGTGTACATTCACTTTAGCATTATTGTGCACACTATAAAGTGACTACTTTTATGTGCATTCTCATAGTGTGTATTCCAATCAACATTATTTTGCAATTATCATATTATTTATATAATAAAACATATATTTATTATCACGATTTTTATTTAACATTTTATTTCATTATTTTTTGAAAATAAATAATATACGTATATAGATAAAATATAAAGAATAATATTTTTATATAGTTTGGTTGATTCTCTTAGTTCATTTTTTTATTACTTTATTTATATCTTTTAATTAAAACAAATATGAACCAACTACCAGAAATTTTTAATATCTATGAAAAAAATACACACTAGCATAACAATATTATTATTATTATTATTATTTTGTCATGCGATGTCGTTATGTGGAATATTTTGTTATACTAATGTGCATTATCAAATTCATTATTGTGCATTTGATCGATCATTATTGTGCAATCTGATATCCACTGTTGTGCATCTAAATAATATATTGTGTATATGTAGTGGGTAATTTTTTTATTTTATTTGAACTACAATAATTTGCTTATTTGGTTTGTTAAAATTAATTTATTATTTATATTATAAAAATATATTATATACTTTAGTATTTTTATTTAATACCTAATATTATTTTTGATTTAAAATACATAAATTATATATGTATAAGGACTATATAAAAGACAATATCTTTTTATATATTTTATGTAAATTACAAGTTGACCCAAGTACTAAATAGTAATATAAATAAAAAATTTTGGATTAACAGATTGACCCTATGGTTTAATGTGTAATTATAAAAAACTTTTAAAATTACAAAATGGTCCTTATGACATATCGAATTTCCCAAATAAACTCCTTCCCCCAAATCGTTTTTTCAGCTGTCTCCAGCCCCAACAGGACAATGAATTTAGACGGGTTGTCGCCCCTCATCAACGCCGGCAACGGAGTCAACGGCTTGAGAATCGGGACACGTCGAGAAAAATAGAGCCGCCGTGGCCACCGCGAAGTGAGTGCAACCAGAGACAACTGTCGGCGGCTGGGAGAATGGAAAGGTGGGCTATGTTTTTTGCTACAGATAGTCAGAACATGGGGTGCTCGACGGCTGCAAGGATGCTCCGGCGTTGGCGGCGGGGATGCACCGGCGTTGGTGGCGGAGCAGAAGGTCGCCGGCAGGAAAACACCAGATGAATCGCCGGCATGGATAGAGACAAAGCGTGTGGTGCTCCGATGGCGGCAGGGATGCTCCGTTGGCGGCGGGGATCCTCAGGCGGAGGTTGTATCGATGCGGCGGTGCTCCGACGATGACTGTCGTGACTGTGATTTGTGCGCCGTCTGTGTGTGTGCGGTGTGTGTGTCTATGTGTGTGATTTTTTTGTGTGCATGAGATGTTACTGTGTGTGGGTGTTATTGTGTGAGAGAGAGGGAATGCTAGGGTAGGGTGGGGTGGGGTGTGGTGGGGTCGGGTAGGGTGGTGTGATGGTTTGAGTGGTAGGTGGGTTTGGTGGCAGGTACGTATTTAATGTGTAGTAGGGCCAATATGTTTGAGTGGTGTGGAAAATTACCACAATGCCGTTAATGAAGGTATATTTTTGCCTTTTTTATAAATCGTTGGATCATGCGATCTAATGTATACGATATATTCTTATTTCTTTGGCTGAAAATCATTCTCACCGGAGCGTGACCATATATATATATATATGTATATATATATATATAGTGATTGGTTCCAATGAGAACACATTCTTAAAATGAGGACATAAGACTCAATCTGTAACATATATATAGGGATTGGTTCCAATGAGAACACATTCTTAAAATGAGGACATGAGACCCAATCTGTAACACCTCGCCTCTTCTAACTTTGAATCACGAAAAAATGGTTAAAATTTTTCGCGATTGTTTGCAAAATATACTTATAGGAAAATACTGAAACTTAACTTTTCGGGATGTTACTTACTGGCTTAACTTCTTACTCTTTATTTCTTTTACTCATGAATGTATCCAAATCAATATATAAAATTTTAGCTGGAGAATATGGATAAGGAATTATTATACATAGAATAATTATACATACATATTTACTGGTTCTGGTTTATCCGTACGGAAACGTAATTAACATATAGTCGTATATATTTTAATACAAACCAACTTAAACACAAACATAATAAATATACAGCTTTATTCGAACATCACCACACCACTGCTCGGCTAACGCTCCATGCTGAACTCCATCACCTGGAAAAACATAATGGGGGTGTGAGCAAAACTACTATCCTCCGTAGAAACCAACACTGAATAAACAACACATATAATCCAATATCATGAACTAAGTATATACATAAATAAAACTGCTCTGAACTTTACTGATGCAACTACCGATAACTGTCTGGTTCTCACATGATCATATTCTGGGGGTCGCCTCCCCAGAAACCCAGTCTTGACTGGGCGAGTGACTCAAGATGGAAACTTCCATACAAGACTGAGTCATCTTAAACAGGACCACGAACGGAATAACTCCATCGTTCGGGTAAAATTATCTACATACATACCTCATACATAGTACAAAATTATAAGTGATGTAATACCCAGTGCAGGTCCCCCACCTGATATGTTGAAAAGACATTGTAAGTGCTGAATAATTGATGTAGCTGTTGGAGGCTCGACTCTCCACAACTACCAACATATACAAACAATTATATCTAATTTTTTTTTTTTTTTTAAAATCACATATACTCTAAAAATTATGAAACTTGACAGTTAAATAGTAGATATATTCATATACTCTCTAATCAAATTTTTACTCAAAAGCACTTCAATAGCTCAATCCACCCAAATACTAAAATTAACATATAATTATGCTAATTTTATGCTTAACTTTAAAGAATTTTATAAATTCACATACTTCTCATATCAAGATGAAACTTGGTCATCTTGACAAATGCTCATACAAGAAATATTCCTAAAAGTTTCATATAAAAAGCTTGAATGTGGAGTGAGTTCTATCGCATATAAAATCAACCTGACAGGCATGGAGTTTTACATATTTAACTCCTTCATTTCTCAACATAAAATTCTGAAATTTGACAGGTAAACTCTCAACATAAGGTATACATGTCATTAAAATTTCACATTTTTTTCATGCACATATATTGACTTATTCGAGTTTAAAATAAGCAGCTGAAATTTGACATAAAAACTCGATTTGCATGATAAACTTTAAACATCTATAATTCAAGCTATACTTAACCAAATGACATAATTCTTGTTCATATGTACTCATCATTTACACAAGAAATAACCATATAAAGTACACTTTCCCATTTTATTCATATCATGCTAAAATTCAAATCAAAACAGGACATATATAACATGTGATTGAGCTGGAAACAACTAATCATTTTTCATGCCTAAAATTTCATATAAACTTAATATATATGACATATAAATACATCATGATACACTTAATCTCAAATACAACACATGATAAAAAGGTAGCATCTAACCTCCTTCAAGAAATTTGAAAATGAAACTCTGGAAGTCGATCTCAACCTATCTTCGGCAATATTTCTCTCGGTTTATCTTCCTCACTCTATAGCTAAACGTTTCTTATTATGGTGTGAATTTTGAGTCTATGCTGATGCCCATTTATATAGGGTAGCAAAGGAATCAACTTCTTTACATCCACACTCTACCATAAACAACATCTTAGGGCCCTTATCATTTATGTTCGTCTAAAATCTTGCACAAATGTGAGTAAGCTTTGAAAAGTACTTGTAATGCATGATTTCTCCTGTATATATCACGAAAAAACTCCTCCATTTTACTAGACCTTAATATGGCTCGAAATTCAGCTAAAATAGCTCATTTATTACTTAAAAATGCTTAGAATTTTTTTTTATAAAATAAATAAAGATAATAAATTGAATTCATAACTTGTAAACTTCTCCAATCTAAAGTCAATGCTTAGAAAGGCCCATCATGTGATCCTAATCTAATTTTCATTATAAAATTCGTGACTTAATGAAAAATATAGAATTTACGGAACCGAATTCTGACTTAAAACGAACGCTTATCGAAAAATCAAAATTTTCAATTCTATCTTTTGCTTTATGCATTTTTCCTTTTTATGCTGAAAAATTTTTATTCTTATCATGCCCCAACTTATAATAACATGTCACATGATATATATATATACATATATATATATATATCAATATCAAGTAATTTCATGAGGAATAATATGGTGTAAATTAACACTTTATTTTTAAAATTAAACTAAAATTGTGCTAATATCCTCTTTGAAAATCCATGCCAAAGTTCATCTTGATGTCTACTAAAATATATAGAGAAATATAAATTTTTTCGGAACTAAAATCGGACTTAAATTCCGACTACAATTGAAAACCGAAAACTCGAATATTTCAAATATAAATTCAAATATACTCTTAATAAACCTTCTTGTCAAAATAAATTATCTCCAATCATTAACATCTACTTAATCCTTATAACTTATCCATTAAATCATATAAGTCATTAATTTCATTTAGTCGATTAACTCAATTTAATGAAAAACACTTCCGATTTCACTTTAAAGTCTAGCAAAGTGAATCGGTTCTATTTATTAACTGAACGGGGCGTTACACAATCCTAGCCACTAAAAAGGTATCAAGATGTGTGGCCAAGATTTAACTCTTTATTTAAATAATAATTTTTTATTTTAATTATTTTAGTTATTTAATATTATTTTGACCATTGACCCTTGACCGTTGACTCCGGCGTTGACCGTTGACTCTGGCATTGACCATTGACTTCTGGCAAAAATCGTTGACTTCCGGCGTTGACCGTCGACTTCCGGCGTTGACCCGTTGACCATAATATGTATTGTGTATGAAGTAAATATGGTGAGTCAAAGTTAGTGTAAATATGTTGCAAAGTTATTGAAACAAAACAGATGCATAATTGGTGATACAGTGTTGCACAGTTAACGTCAAAATGTTGCATGGTTATTGAAACAATGATGCAAAAAGATGTTGCATAGTAAGTGATAAAAAGTGTTGCAATGTTAGTGTAAAAATGTTGCATGGTTATTGAAACAATGATGTAAAAAATATGTTGCATAGTTAGCGATAAAGTGTTGCAAAGTTAGTGTAAAAATGATGCATAGTTAGTGATAAAGTGTTGCACAGTTAGTGTAACAATGTTGCATAGTTAGAGAAAAAGTGATGCAAAGTTAGTGTAAATATGTTGCAATGTTATTGAAACAAAACAGATGCATAATTAGTGATAAAGTGTTGCACAATTAGTGTCAAAATGTTGCATTGTTATTGAAACAATGATGCAAAAGATGTTGCATAGTTAGTGATAAAAAGTGTTGCAATGTTAGTGTAAAAATGATGCATAGTTAGTGTAAACATGTTGCATGGTTATTGTAACAATGATCTAAAAAATATGTTGGATAGTTAGCGATAAAGTGTTGCAAAGTTAGTGTAAAAATAATGCATAGTTAGTGATAAAATGTTGCACAGTTAGTGTAACGATGTTGCATAGTTAGAGAAAAAGTGACGCAAAGTTAGTGTAAATATGTTGCAAAGTTATTGAAACAAAACAGATGCATAATTAGTGATAAAGTGTTGCTCAGTTAGTGTCAAAATGTTGCATTATTATTGAAACAATGATGCAAAAAATGTTGCATAGTTAGTGATAAAGTATTGCACAGTTAGTATAACGATGTTGCATGGTTATTGAAACAATAATGCAAAAACGATGTTGTATAGTTAGTGGTAAAGTGTCGCATAGTTAGTGTAAAAATGTTGCATGGTTATTAAAACAATGATGCAGAAACACTGTACACGAGAGACATATTTATTGTAACAAACCAGATACATATTTATTTCAACATAGGTGCATAAGTATTCCAATTACTTAATCTGAGCCATTGATCAACACAAAATCAATGGTTAAGAGGTGTCCTCATTTTAAGAGTTGTCCTCATTTGATCCTCCCCCTATATGTATATATATAGAGAGAGAGAAGTGATCATATGAGAATAGGAGATAGTGAAAGAAATAAGAATGATCATGGATCATTGGATAAATTATATCAATGAACATGATAAGTCAAAATTGAGTTACAAGTCAAACATGCAGTGGCAAAATCGTAATTATATTACTATATCATTGACAAATAAATAACTAGAAGGGCAGTTTTATAATTTCACCAAACAATCAAATAAGTGGGCCCCACCAATAAATATTGCCCACGAGCCACGATGATCCATCTCTCCTCTCTCTTCTCTCCCCCTATATATCTCTCTCTCACGCAGATCTCACGCTCCGTCCACCCGCCGGCAAACATCCTGAGCAACCTTCCTGCCGCCGCAGAACTTCCTCGCCAGCCTTTCCTTCGCCGCCTGACAACCACCAGACAACTAATTACACCAGACAGCCGCCGTCGGAGTTCGCCGTCATCGCCATCCTAGATCGCCGTCGCCTCCGTCAACACCTGCTGTCGTCATCCATATTTTCAGGCACACTGGACATGTCGCCTCCGTCAACACTCCGACGTCGTCATTAGCCGTTCGTCTTGGTGCAGCCGACAACAACCCTCCAACCACTGAAGCCCGCCGCCTCAGCCACATGGTTTTAAGAATTTGACCCTTCCAACCTGCCAATCTTTGCAAGACTTTGTCCGACCGCCCTCAGCCAATGGTCATTGCCAGCGCGCCCTCAGCCAATGGTCCGTCGCCAGCGCGCCCTCAGCCACCGGAAGACGGCATGAGAGGAAAAACGGCGGAGGTGGACGGAAGAGACGGCTGGAAGTCGGGCGCCTGAGACCTTTTTTAGATTTTGTTTGCTCAATTTTGTACATTAATGAACAAGGACTTGATTTTATAAATTTGATAACATTTAGTGGCTTAATTACAATTTCAATCAGTTTAATAAATTACAATTGAGTTAATGGGTGAATTTGTAACTAATCAAACTATAAATTAATATTTTAACATTTCATTTAATATTTACTATTTTTATAGTTTTTTATTGAAATGAATAATAATAAAAAATAACAATATTTTTTATGTAATCGGCCGTGCGATTATCGATTATCTAAATAACCAAAAAATATAAAAGTTAATATTTATAATATAGTTTATCTTTTATTTTTGTTATTTGAATAAAAAGATGATATCATATAAAAATAACCGATATATAAAATAATAATAATAATAATAATAATAATAATAATAATAATAATAATAATAATAATAATAATAATAATAATAATAATAATAATAATAATAATAATAATAATAATAATAATAATAATAATAATAATAATAATAATAATAATAATAATAATAATAATAATAATAATAATAATAATAATAATAATAATAATAATAATAATAATAATAATAATAATAATAATAATAATAATAATAATAATAATAATAATAATAATAATAATAATAATAATAATAATAATAATAATAATAATAATAATAATAATAATAATAATAATAATAATAATAATAATAATAATAATAATAATAATAATAATAATAATAATAATAATAATAATAATAATAATAATAATAATAATAATAATAATAATAATAATAATAATAATAATAATAATAATAATAATAATAATAATAATAATAATAATAATAATAATAATAATAATAATAATAATAATAATAATAATAATAATAATAATAATAATAATAATAATAATAATAATAATAATAATAATAATAATAATAATAATAATAATAATAATAATAATAATAATAATAATAATAATAATAATAATAATAATAATAATAATAATAATAATAATAATAATAATAATAATAATAATAATAATAATAATAATAATAATAATAATAATAATAATAATAATAATAATAATAATAATAATAATAATAATAATAATAATAATAATAATAATAATNTAATTGGTCTGTATTTCAAACTTTATTTCCCTTTCGGAAGTTTAATGAGTATTTCTATCGTTAAAAAAAAATATTAGTGCTCTCCGCATTTAGCTCCAATTTATTTAATAAATTCGAACCTTCAACTTAATTAGTTATATTAATTTCATTGATCGATTTATCATCCCCCTGTTTAAGATATAACGTCCATTAATTATTTAAATTGATAATAAAATTAATCAATTTCTTTTATCCCGCAGGATCTGAAATTAGTACCACTCAGTTCTTTAATCATTATGTTGGAATTTAATTCTCCTGCATGGCTTAACATAATATTCCTTCCTGAGCTCATTTCGGGAACGTCATCAACCTGGCGGACCGGGACATAGTGACCATAAATGATATTAACAGCAGATCATATAAATATCATCATTTACCAAAATACTGAGTATGTCATCCTAATAAAATAGGAATCATCTTTGGTAAATCAAATAAATAAGTAATGAGTACCCGAGTGAACAATCGGCCTGTGGTTGTCCTTGTTGTCTATTCGCGAGTGAAGAGCCGAGCGTATGGCTGCCCATTGCGCTTTTGTTTACCGTTCTCGGTTGTTTGAACCACAATTTTGATCTACAAATTTACTTTTAACGATAAAAAAAATAGTATATATTCCCATTTATTATCTTACGGCTTAAGAGTACACATCAATTACTACGGTCTAGATTATTTATTCAGTCAGTATTCAAATAATCTTATCCTCTACGGTCCATTCAATACGTACAAAGTACTAGTGTAATTCATCAGTCAAAGATCATGAATCAAAAATTACACTACAGTCTTTTACCAACGGGTTGTTCAATTCTGTCTAGACTGTCAATCAATAATTTATATTTTACAAGGAATAGATAATATGATCTTTCTGTTCAATACATCAGACCATATTATCTACAATGTAAATTAAATGAATTCATGCTCGCATAAATAAATAAACTGCAAACACAAATACTTGACTAAAACATGATTGCCAGATCAAAATAGTATTGCTAGAAACTCAAAGCCGAGCTTTTACTATATACCCTAACAATCTCCCACATATACTCTAAAATGCTTTCGACGATTATTAAGTATAATCTCTTTCAATCTTATTCTCAAACACTAGTTTATCCAACAATAGAGCTCCATTTAAAGGTCAGAAGATAGTGGCCTGGTGCGAAGCCATGAAGGTCATGCAACATTTTGCATCGGTGACTTAAGGGTCACTTAGAGAGAGCTTCAGGGGCATGGGTCGATGAGCTCGATTCGGTCCTCTGGGCTTATAGGACGACTCCAAAGGCTTTAACAGGATAAACGCCCTTCAGTCTGATATACGGTATGGAGGCAGTCATCCCAGTCGAGGTGGGTCTCAGCTCGGTAAGGGTGTCCACTTGTAACGCCCCGTTATTGAAAATAGAGAATCAATATTTCGAAAAAATATTTTTCAAATAAATAAATATTTTAACATTTATCAGAGAATAAATATTCGTTTTAAAAACATTAAATGGGAATTACTTAAAATCTTTTTATCTAAACACCATTTATCAATAGATCGAACCAATCATCACTCCTGTTTTAGAATCGTCAAGCGGAAGCAAAAAATGAAATATTTTAGAAAATAAACACTTTCAGTTCCAAGGTTTCAAATTCCAAAGCAAGGCATCAATTTCAAAAACTAACTCATATGAATTTCTCAAACATCAGTCTAAACTTAGCCAATCATAACATGGTTCAATAAAACATAATTCAAAGAAATACAAATTTAAGTCAAAAGAAGCAAATTAAATATATTTTTTTAAATCGACCACCACCTGTCTGTCAATCATCACCGCTGCCAGCTTCATTACCTAAAAGGGGGGTTATAGGGGTGAACAAACCACTAGCTCACTACTATGCACATAAATTCAAGTATAATAACAGATAGTATGATCGCAGCACGAACATGAATCAATAATAATATCACATCTCCTAATCATCATATAATACTCAAGTGCACATCTATAAAATCCACTGAAGGTCGAAACCGCACACAACAATGGGAGTACATGTCGATGGTCGAAACTGCACACAACGACAAGGCCCGTCATTAGGCTAAGGAAGACTGCCTATCAATAGGCACCACCGAAGGTCGAAACTGCTCACGACGACGGGGATAACCATTTTGAAGGTCGAGACTGCACACGTCGAAGGTTACATGGTTCACACGCATACATTGATCATACAATCTAGCACTTATAAAGAATTATGGCATATAAATTTAATAACACCCACCTGAAAATCGAGGTAGGATAAAGTACACAGTCTGCTGGACGTAGGCCTCAACTCCTCAAACACCTACATTTAATCAAGATAATACTCATCAATATTGTTATCTTGACATTTTGAAAAGTTCACGAGAATTCATACTTAGTCGAACATTATCGACTAAGTAGTTCGTGGAATTTGAAAATCTTGGATTTGAAGGCTAGACTCAGAAAATTCATATAATAATATTAAAAATAGACTCAGCACGATAAACAAGGTCAACGGGTCGAACATTAGTCAAACAGTTCGGGAAAAATAAAGATCAGTTCAACGCGGCTCGGCACGGGCGCGGGCTGGGCCGCTGGCACTGGCTGGGCACGCATCGGTGCTGGTTGGGCTCGTCTGGGCGCTGTCGGGCTGGCCTGGCACATCTGGGAGCTGCTGGGCTTATTCAGGAGCGGTTGTTGGATGCGGAGCGGCATGGGGCGACACGGGGACACGCGGTCGTGGCACGGAGCGGCGTGCAAGTGGTGCGGGAAGTCACGCAGGTACACGTACGCGGGGACACTGGCGACACGGGACGGCACGTGGCGCTGCCCGGGGACATTGGCAGTTGCACGTATCAACCGAGACTTTTGGAGTTTGGCTCGGGCATTTGGAACGAAATTTTAACCAGATAAAAACAACTCATTAAAGTGCCAGAATACAAAAGATGAACCTCCACTACAAGAAATCTGCCGAAAAGTGACGAAAATTCATGTGACGAAAAATAAATCGTCACCGTATGTTGCTTTACGGTGACGAATTTAATAAATCGTCATTACACCATTGCATAAGACGACGACTCCTATATTCGTCATCTTAGAATTCTTTTTTCGTCACATAATGGAGTTTTTCATGACAGTGCAACTCAATTCGTCACATATACATCTAAATTCATCACATGTACATAAAATGTGACGAAATTAAATGTGACAAACAAAATATCGTTGTTATTTAAAATGACGCTTGCGACAAATTCGTCATTATATAATTATTTATTGTGACGATACATTATAATACATCTAAATTCGTCACAATAATACGTATTGTGATGAAATTCACTATGACGAAAACAAATTCGTTGTTTTTCTCTGTATTTGAAATGTTGCTTGCAAAAAATTCGTCATTATATAATTTTGTTTTGTGACGATAAACTATAAAACAACTAAATTCGTCATATCATTACATATTATGACGAAAGTCACTGTGACGAATCAAAATTGTTGTGTTTTTATTGTGTTTAAAATGACGCATACGTATAATTCGTCATCATACACCTTTCTTTTGTGACAATATGGGTATAATGCGTCTATATTCGTCACAATAATACAATATCATGACGAAATTCAATGTGACGATAAAAATCGTTGATTTTTATTTGTATTTCAAATGACACTCACGTATAATTCGTCATTATATAACTTTGCTTTGTGACAAATTTGTGTCATAAGTGGTTTAGTAATAATCACAAAGTTTATATTCATCATTAAAATATGCCCTTTTCGTTTAGTAATAATCACAAATTATTTGATTTTTTTATTATTATTTGCTATCAGAAAGTGGCCTAATTTTATTTTATTTTTTATATTTGATTTCCAATCGATCAGAATACAAAATAAACATCTCCATATCTTATCTAGAACAAAAAATTCTCTATTCAAATTTATCATAAAAAAAACCCCAAATCATCAATCCACAGCAATTCAATGCCCGTCAGTGTTAGATGAATTTCCCGACCGACGTTTTTCTCTCGGACAAATCGAAGTTTTCTCGACCCACAATATGTCGCCCTAGTTTTTCCACATCAATTCTCCTCTCAAAATTCCCTAAATTTCTTCCCCCGGCAAGAGAAACTCCAGCAGCAAATCTCCAGTGGAAGAAGACCATTAGCCAAGCAGAAACCGGCGATCGAAGCACCAATTACCAACGAGGCGAGTCGGACCCGAGCGACCAAGACCAGCCCTTGTACCTGGCTGAAGCAGATCTCCTCGGCAAAGCAGACCGTCGGCGATCGAGAGCAGACCAATCACGGCTGAGACGAGCGTACAAGGTTTCTGAGTGCACTCTGGAGCAAGCAGCCTTCCAGCATCGAGCTTTGGCCGAAGAACCGCGTCCAATTACCTAAAGAACCGAGCCCCTCTTGTTCAGCGGTTCTCAGCATGTACTCGGGAATGCAGCGGGGCCGAGTTATCCCGGCCAGATTCACCTTTCCATTGGTGCTTATATAGCTTGTGCGGGCCTACTGACTTTGGTGTACGGCCGCACGATCCACGAACAAATACTCAAGCACGGTTTGTTCACACGAAAAGGGGCTCATGTCCTTTTTATGGATAGCCCTCGTGCAAGCCATTCTCAGAACTTAACAAGCATCTGATGTGAATAAGGATCTGAGTTGTTTTTCTTAAGCCAGTGGTTTGATTCGATTATTTGCCAGTGAAACTCCAAGAACATTTTTAATGATCTGATGATACACTTAGGGGTTATGAAGCCAGGAGGCTTTGATATGCAGGTGCGAAGACAATGGTCGCGTGTTGTTTTTGACAACTTGAGTTCTCAAGGCATGTTCCGATATTGATGGGCTTAGACAGGGAAATGCAGCCATGGATTTGCTGTGAAAATGAGATTTGAACTCGATCCCAGACCTGCAAATCGTGCTTACTTCTCTGGATGAAAAATGCGAGCTCGTAGAAGATACAAAGTCCTTGTTCGACGGGTTGAAGGGAAAAATATAATTATTTGGAATACTATAATCTCAGGCTTTGCCAAAAATGGTTGTGCTGAGGATGCTATTGAGCTATTTTCCGAGTCCATATCGGGAAAGGCATGAGCAGATGGGGAACCATACAATCCTTTATACTGGTTGTGGCCCAATTAGTCGCTCGAGCGGGCAAAATTGATGGACGAGTACGTCAGCCGTAGTAGGTTCAGAGACGATGTGTACATATGCAGCAGGTTTATTGACATGTACACAAAAATGAGGAACGTGCACGGTAGGTACTCTAAGCTCAGGCTCCTTTGTCGAGGTTGAAGGCAACGGGCAGAAACTCACGATGACACGCAAGAAAGTCTACTCGACCAGAAAACTTGTTGCCTCAAACTCGTCCAATGTTATGAATACCATTCATAGGATTGCTCTTTATTTAGCAAATAATTGTCTGAGCAGGCTAGTTTGCTGAGTAGCTAGTACCATAGTTGTTTGTTATAGTACATACAGTTATATTCGATGAAAATGTATTCAGCCTCCAATTTTTTTTTTTTTTTCTTGGTATTTAATCAACAAATGTATAGCTAATCTTTTTTCTATATTTAACATCATCTTTGCCCATTGCCATGACATGGGAATGTGAACAAACCATCCCCTTCAAAGTTTACTTTTCGAAGTAATATGAACTTCGCCTGATAACATCAAACTCATGAGCCTGCGTTTATGTACGACATATTACTTCGTCTGATAATATCAAACTCATGAGTCTGAGTTTATGTGCGAGTTTTATGTCGGCAGATGTACATAGTTGTAACCTGATCAAAAGAGAGAACATCTTGAGGCTTTACAAACAGAAAGAAATTGAACTGTAAACTTATCAAAAGAGCCAAAAATAATTTCACATAACATTTTGAGGCTTTACAAACAAAAAGAAATTAAACATCGTAAAACCATATACTGAGCATGTTCATGAAAAAAAAAATATACTGCTCCATGAAAAACCATATACTGCTCCATGAAAAAAAAAAATATACTGCTTCATGAAAAAAATATACTGCTCCATGAAAAAAAAATGTACTGCTCCATGAGTTCATGAAAAACCATATACTGAAGTTTAATCGAATATGACTCGTCAACTTCAAAAGCAAATACCACATAATAAAAAAAAAATAGGACATAATTTGGTCGAATACAATTTCAAATAGGAAAAATACAGAAGTCCGAGTCGAAAAGAGTCGAAAAGAACGACAAATACAGGTTTTTATCCTGGGCATATTTCTGAATTGCTAGACAACTTTGGAGCATAGAAAATGCACCAGTTGAATTCACCAGCTGAAGAAATTCTTCTACTATTGATGACAAACGTACCTGCACAGGCAACAAATGTAATTATATCAGTGATACTAATTACGATGCGATTCATTAACAAGATATAGAAGATATAGAACACAAAGTAGTTTTTTAGAGCTCTGGAAAGCAATGATAAACATTCACCTGCAATGGCCTTAATGGCCACAATTGGTCTCATCAAAAAACAGAGAACGTACATAATTGCCTACACAAAGAAAAGCAACCGTTCAGAAAGGTACTAGTGGCAGAACCCAATTAGTGGAACACAAATACACAAACACAACACTCATTCTCAAGCACATAAAATTAGCATATACAACTAATAAATCAGAAAATATAAAAATTAAAAATGAAAAATATAAATTTAAAACAACAAATAACCCAGATTAATAGGCCTCATATATATCCTCAGTCCAAAGCCTAGAAATCAAATTCAACCTGGAATAAAACAGCAAACAAAAAAAAATTTATGGCCAAAATAATCGAAACTTGCAATAAATTAAAATTTTAAATTACCAAACATCATTTTTTTCACTCCTTTTATTGGACTGGAAACACTCGCAGCTCTCACCCCGAATTTTCGTGCCTGTATAGAAATATTACGCATCATCAAAAGACAAGCAACAGATAAAGCACATGATAACACATAGAAATATAGGAATAGATATTTGAATGATCAATCATTAATCTCACAAGTCACAACCATACCAGTCAAAGTCGTCATCACTATCAGAAGTGTTGCTTTTTTCAGAATCGTCTACACTACTACAATAGTCAACCAGGGTGTCATCAGGGTCATCTTCTTCAATGACATCATCTATGTTTACGAGCTCTGCAATATCCGGTAGTGTTTCTATCATTGATTCCTCAATATCTTGAGAATCCACGTCATTCCTACCTCGTGATTCTAATTCATCAACACTAACTTTGATATAGCCATACTTGTGAACCGGAGTCAAGTATGAAGAGGTCCGAGCGAAACCGAGGAAGAGCAGCCTGAGGAGGTCTAGATAAGGCTTGAAGGTCTCGGTGACTGAGTATGAGAAGCTCCACACGACTAAGTATGGGAAGTAGACATGCTCTCTGTGACTGAGTATGAGAAGCTCCAAACGGCTAAGTATGGGAAGTAGACATGCTCTCTCTGACTGAGTATGAGAAGCTCCACACGGCTAAGTATGTGAAGTAGACATGCTCTCTCTGACTGAGTATGGGAAGCTCCACCCGACTAAGTATGGGAAGTAGACATGCTCTCTGTGACTGAGTATGAGAAGCTCCACACGACTAAGTATGGGAAGTAGACATGCTCTCTGTGACTGAGTACGAGAAGGTCGAGCTGCTCTAAGAAGATAATTAGAGGTAATCTCGACTTGCTAGACTTGCCAGAGGTCATCTCGACTTGATAGACTTGTCTCGACCTGCTAGACCTTCTAGAGGTCATCTCGACTTGCTAGACTTGCTAGAGGTCATCTCGACCTGCTAGACTTGCCAGAGGTCATCTCGACTTGATAGACTTGTCTCGACCTGCTAGACCTGCTAGACCTTCTAGAGGTCATCTCGACTTGCTAGACTCATTTCGACCTGCTAGACTTGCCAGAGGTCATCTCGACTTGCTAGACTCGTCTCGACCTGCTAGACTTGCGAGAGGTCATATCGTCTCGACCTACTAGAGATCATCTCATCTCGACTGGACAAGAGGAGCTAGAGCTCATCTCCGCTACTAGACGTCTCTGTTACTAGAGGTCTCCGCTACTAGACCTCTCCGCTACTAGACGTCTTCTCTACTAGACGTCTCCGTGACTAGAGGTCTCCGCTACTAGACTTCTCTGTGACTATAAGAGAGAGGCAATAATTGGATAAGAAGGAATCTTGAGCTGACTAGGAGGTAGATGGAATGCAAACCTACCAGGGCATTTTGGACACTTCAGGTAAACCGTTCGGGGCATTTTAGGTACTTCAAGCATGTAGTTCCGTCTATATAAAGGGGCTGAGATAACCCTAAACCCTAACCTCTACTCATTCTATACACTTTCCATCTCTCTGCTGCTGCTGCTCTCTGAGAGCAGCTCTCTTCCCCACATTCTATGAATTTCTACATACATCACAACTCTTCTCCTCTGTTTACTGACTTGAGCGTCGGAGGCCCAACGCCGGGACCTCTCCCGGCGTTGGGTTCTTGCAGGTGTTTGCGGCGGTCTAGCAACGATTTGAAGGCGGTTCGAACAGATCGGAGCTCACAACAACCGGTTTACTCCAGATCTGGAAGTAGACCCATCATTTGGCGCCGTCTGTGGGGAGCTCTTGAAGGAATTAAGAGCTTTGCACCTAGTTCTGATCTGTCTGAGATGGTTGAGAAGGGAAGTGTGTAGAGGAATTTGAGTGAGGAGTTGTGGGGGATATAAAGAGGAAGGAAACCTCTGGTGGTTCTCAACCTGGAGTTTTTGATCTCTTTAAAGGAGTTGCCACCGTTTGATTCTCACGCGCCGTCATGAGCGCGTATGGAAGAGAAGCTACCTTCACCCTTGGAGGGGAAGAGCCAATTATTTGCTGAGACGCGGAGCAATAGACCCTCACCAATGAAACTTGGTGAAGGGCAAAGAAATATGGAGAAATCACTAATGAGATACCCATCACGAGTTGGGGTCATTCTGGACTACCTAGAGACACTCATGACGAGTTGGGATCATTCTGGACTACCTAGAGACACTCATGACAAGTTGGGATCATTCTGGACTACCTAGAGACACTCATGACGAGTTGGGATCATTCTGAACTACCTAGAGCACTCATGACGAGTTGGGATCATTCTGGACTACCTAGGGACACTCATGACGAGTTGGGATCATTCTGAACTACCTAGGGACACTCATGACGAGTTGGGGTCATTCTGGACTACCTGGTGACACTCATGACGAGTTGAGGTCATTCTGGACTACCTAGAGACACTCATGACAAGTTGGGGTCATTCTAGACTACCTAGAGACACTCATGACAAGTTGGGATCACTCAGGACGATTTGGAGGCACTTATGACGAGTTGGAATCACTCTGGACGATCTAGAGGCACTCATGACGAGTTGAGGTCACTCTGGACGATCTAGAGGCACTCATGACGAGTTGGAACCACTCTGGACGATCTAGAGGCACTCATGACGAGTTGAGATCACTATGGACGACTTAGAGACCTTCAGTTAGGTGGAAGAGCGACTTTCGCGACTTATATACAACTAAGTGAGACTTATATGCAATCATGGCTAGAGAGGCCTAGCTCTATATACAAAGGAGTCTAAGTCTACAAGAGAGAATTGACTTAAGTTTCTAAAACAGCTACGAAGTAGAAGACGACTACGAAGTCGATCATCTCAAATCCACCATGATTAAGGCTTTTGAAAAGCTGGGTGGTCACTTGTTTTGAACAATCCTAGACTTGGGTTGAGCAAGTGTTTGAAATCAAAACTCCACCATGACTAAGGCTTTTGAAAAGCTGGGTGGTCACTTGTTTTGAACAATCCTAGACTTGGGTTGGGCAAGTGTTTGAAATCAAAATCCACCATGACTAAGGCTTTTGAAAAGCTGGGTGGTCACTTGTTTTGAACAATCCTAGACTTGGGTTGGGCAAGT